CCTATCAACTACTAACCTAGCAACTACAGGAGACAGCCCCGGAGATGAGGCAGCCCGCTAGTGCCATTTTAGGTCAGACTACCCAGCCAGACGATTTGCATGCCACGAGCACCTACTGAGGCCGACACTCCACGAGGACCAGATCCACACCGCGCACGACACGACGGACTGTCTCCCTTGCTCTTCGATCCTTTCACCACCTTTCTTCTTCAGGTGGCCCGACTCAGCCTCACCACAGGCGGACCACATCCGGTGGCTCTTGCGACCGTTGATATGTTTATCACATCCATAACTTGGAATGGCCGTGGCCTGTCAAATAGGGCCACTCTCGCTCACCTTCATTCTCTCATTCGTGATCATAGACTTGGTTTTGTTGGCTTTATTGAGTCGATGATTCGCACCACTTTCTTTGACTACTACTCACGTCGCCTTGGCTTCCACTCGGGCGTGGGTAACATTTCGCATAAGATCTGGTTCTTCCACTCGCGTGACTACACTTCTGGGTCCTCCGTGACACTGATCAGGTGCTTCACGTCAAGCTTTTTGCTTCCCACCTCCCAGAGCCCATCTTCCACACCTTCGTCTATGCCAAGTGTACTAGGGTCGGGCGATATGATCTTTGGGACACCCTGCGTGAGATTGCTGAGAGTGTGGAGGGATTTCCAGGGATGGTTAGTGGCGATTTCAACACCTTTCTGCACCCCGATGAGCGAGTGGGTGGCCGTTCGGACCGGTCACGGGAGATGTGGGATTTTGCTCAGGCGGTGGCGGACTGTGAGTTAATTGACGCTGGATGTGATGGTGAGCCCTTCACGTGGGTGAGGGATGGACTCAAAGGGAGACTCGACCGTGCCTTGGTTTCTGAGGCGTGGGCAAAGGTGTTTGCGGTTACGACAGTCACACAACTTACTCGATTTAGATCTGACCATTCACCCCTTCTCATCCGGTGCCGATTTTCGAACAGCCCCCACCGCTCTTCCTTTAGGTTCCAGAACATGTGGGTTCGCCACCACTCCTTCCAAGACACTGTCAGGGATTCCTGACTTCAGCCGACTGGGCTCTTCGGGATGCGCAATCTCGAGGCGAAGCTTGGCAGATTGCGGCGTAGGTTGAGACAGTGGAACTGGATGTTTTTGGAAACCTTCATCAGCGCCTTTCTGCGGCTCAAAGTGCGCAAGCGGCGGCTGAGCGAGCCTATGACCTGGACCCCACTCCGGAGAATAGGACTGCGATGCACCGTTGCCACGCCGAGTACCAGCTCCGACTCCTTATGGAGAAGGACTTCTGGAAGCAGAAGACGGCCGTTCGCTGGGTGGCCGAGGGTGAGCGGAACACTAGGTTCTTCCAGGGCTACGTTAGGCAGAAGCGTGCTAAGTCGTATATCCATAGTATCGAGGCTGATGGGTCATCCCTGACCCAGGAGTCTCAGATTCGGGAGTCGGCTGTTGCTCACTTCCAGACCCTCTTCACCTCTGCCAGAGGGACCCTCATTGCCTCGACCGCTTCTTACTTCCCCACCATCCCTCCTTCGGTCGATCTTATTGGCCTCTGTGAGCTCCCAAGTAGGGAGGAGGTTAGGAATGCTGTCTTCGGGATTGATCCCAATAGCGTTTCTGGCCCGGATGGCTTCTCTTCTCTTGTACTAGGTAAGCTGGGATTTAGTCGGGCCTGACATCGAGGAGGCAATGTTGGATTTTTTCTCTGGTCACCGGATGCCGAATTCCTTCACGTCTACCTCTGTCATCTTGATCCCCAAAAGACCTAACCCGAGCTCTTGGTCCGACTTCAGGCCCATCAGCATGTGTAACGTGACCAACATGCTCATTTCGAAGATTCTTAACGGTCGTCTCCCTCTTCTCCCCTCCCTCATCTCTCCAAAACATAGTGGCTTCGTCAAGGATCAGGTCATTAGTGATAACATCCTTCTGGCCCAAGAGATGATCCACGACATCTCCCGTGCGGATTGAAAGCATGCACCGAATATTGCGCTGTAGCTAGACATGGCTAAGGCATATGATAGGGTGGGGTGGCCGTTTCTGAGGGAGGCACTGGCTAGGATGGGATTTCCTGAGCGTTGGATCAGTTTTGTGGAGGCGTGTATGGAGCACTTCACGTTCACAGTCCTGTTTAATGGCAGCCCCACCGACTTTTTTCCCTCCTCTAAAGGCCTTAGACAGGGCGACCCCCTTTCCCCTTCCATATTCGTTATTGCAGCGGACTACCTCTCTCGCTGCCTTGACGGCATCATCCGCGACTCTCCTCAGATGACCTATAGCACCCGTGGCTATGGTCCTCTCATCTCGCACCTCTCTTATACGGATGACATCATCATCTTCACCCGGGCAGATGATGATGGACTGGTCGAGCTTATGCACCTTCTGGAGCACTATGGCTCGGTTACCTGCCAGCTGATCAGTGTGCAGAAGAGCACCTTCACCCTCTCCTCTTCCAGCACGGACAGGTGGGCTCAGCGGGTCCACGAGATTACTAGTTTTGCACGTGGCGACCTTCCCATTACCTATCTTAGTGTCCCTTTATATAAGTGCAATATCACTAGACCGCTCTTCGCGGACGTTAGGCAGAGGATGATCGACAGGATTTCTGGTTGGTCGCATAGACATCTCTCTTTCGGTGGTCGGCTTGTGCTGATCAAGAGCACCCTGAGCTCCCATCTGCTTCATTTGCTTATGGTACTCGACCCCCCTAGGTCTACTCTTGATGAGATTGATCAGATTATGGGTTGTTATTTCTGGGGTTACGAGGATGGTTCCGGGAGTGGGAGACGTACCCACTGGGTGAGTTGGGACTCTATATGCCGCCCCTTTTCTGAGGGTTGCCTTGGCATCCGCCGCCTCAGGGATATTGTTACAGCTTTCTCCTACAAGCTGTGGTGGCGCTTTTGGGAAGGAAAGTTGCTTTGGGCTCAGTATGTTCGCGGAAAGTACTGCCATAGACGTGCCAACCACCCTTGTTGGGTGACGGCTATTGATCATGATAGTAAACAGTGGCGGCGCCTCACTAGGACTGGTAAGCGCGTCCAGGATCACATCTTCTGGGTTTTGGGCGAGGGCGAGGTTAGCTTCTGGGATGAGTGGTGGGTAGGTGATAGGCCGTTGTCTAGGGATAGGCAGGTGACGCATTCCCCCTACCTGCTTGTGAGTGACCTTTGGACGGATGGGTCGTGGGATAGGGAGAAGCTTGATAGGGAGTTGGGATCTGGTGCAGGTTTTAGCGAGCTGTTAGTAGATCAGATCCAGCAGATTCCCATCTCGGGGGACGGTTCAGATGGCATGAGGTGGAGACTTACATCATTGGGTGTGTTTTTTACTACCTCGGCTTGGGAGTAGATCAGGCTGAGTGATCGGCCTAATCTTCTCTTCGGGGCCATCTGGAGCGACCTTTTCACACCTACCATTTCGGTGTTCCTTTGGCGTCTCCTTTTGCGCCGGATACTAGTGGATACTGTGTTACACGCGAGGGGGATCTCCTTCCCCTCTCGGTGTGTGTGTTGTTCTGAGAATGGACGTCATGAGACTGAGACCTTTA